GCCAGCGCTGGCACAAACCGGCGGGTCCTGAGCCGCCTTCGCCCAGCCTCGGTCCTGGACCCCCGGCGCCATCGCCAGCCCCGCGCCCTCGTGCCAAGGCAGGCCCGCGCCGCCGTTCCCCGCCGGGGCAGGGAAGAGGCCCGCGCCGCGGCTTGAAGCAAACGCGAGATGTTGGCCAACTCCTCCAAAAGCGCCGACGGATCTGTCCTAGCCACGGAAAGCAGATGGCGTGGCAGATTCGAAATCTCATTCCAGAAGAAGCACGCGTAGGAAACCACGCGGAGATAGGGGTCTGTTTATCCAGAGGGTTTTTGCGTTGATTGTTACATTGGTTGAGGGACTTTCCAGCTTGTGTCACCTTTATTCTCTGCGTGCGCAGTTCAGCTATAGCCGGGCTTGTACAAAACTACCCACACCAATCTCTCAGGCTGATGAGATTAAATATATCAGCTTTAGGACGAGGAAGGCTGAATCAGCCCCGCTGGGATTCCAAGCTGCAAATTCAGAGAGTCGCAAGTGTTTAAACCTGGGGACACGGGTTTGAACTGCATACTCAGTCATAAATACAGGCCTTAACGCTCATTATTCACTACCATAATCGGGTTTTTTTCTGTATTCTGTTTTTGCAGGAGATAGTTCACCCATGCCTCAGTGAGATGAATGAACATCACAGTTCTCATGTTGAAGAAGAGGCAGGAGCTGTAAAGGATTTTAGTCAGGAATAATCTCAAAGAGTGATTCCGAGAAACGCTGGAGACACGAGGAGAATGCAGGTTTCTCAGAACACAGATCCCTTTGAAGGAGCTGGAGTGAGAGCTGCAGGCACTGACAGACTCCTGGGTTTCACCTTTCCACAAGATTCATGATTTGCACTAAGAATCTCTCTGAAGCTGTCCTCATGGTGTGCACGGATTTGCTAGTCGTTGAGGCGGGATTATATCCCTAAGTAAGGCTCTAGCCACAGTGGTAATTAGCTGTACACTGATTGACTTGGACATCGGAGAGACTAAAATAAGAATCAACCTGTACATGTCCTCAGAAAAGATGCTGAATGTATCCTGAAGAAATGGTGGAACAGTTTGTGTTGATGCCATTTTGGGGCCAGCTGAAGGCAAATCACTGCCTAATTAGGCCATCTCCTCTGAGCAAGACTAATTCAGGAGGGGTAATGACAATTTCTTCCAGCTGCTTTCTCTGTATTTATTTTGTTTTCTTAGATGGGGAAACTCTGTAGAAAGATGATGCTGTGGTCACCATGCATGATTAGTTCTCCCACATCGTTTTAGGCAAATCACTTCATGCCTCTGTGTTTTTTGACTTTTCCTCCCAGTGCAAAATGTCTTTTCTCCCAAGAGACGTTCTGAAGCTTGAAGTCATTGCTTTCACACGGGATGTGCTGTGAAAGTATTTGAAAGTAATTGAAAGTATCACAGAATTGCCGTACAGCGAGTCTTCTGAAATCCTGAAACAAGTGTTCCTTTAATTACTGTGTATGACTGAGCAATAAAGGGAGCACTTTCGGTCTACACTTTGTAATAAATACTGAACTCTAAAAGCTAAATAATAAACCTCAAAGGCAGGGTGTTTTAAAGCTAGACTAGTAAGAAATAAGCAGGATGTTATTGCTAGATCTTTCTTCTAATCTTTTAGTGATAAATGACCCAATTAAGAAAAAAGCAAAGACAAAATGTTCACGAGCTAATGGGTCAGATTGTACCTCTGAAGCTCTCCAGTTTAATAGCTTAATCATATGCAAGCAGGCTGCAACTGGCAGGTTAAGAAAAAGTAAGTGACAGTGAACTGTTGTTCACTAAAAGGTTGGATTTTCCACCCATTTGCAAGGCTGGCTTTAAGGCAGATGGAAACTTTATTATGAGTCTGGTCCGAAGAGCGCTGCTATCAACAGAACCTTCACTGTGCTGCCCACAAAACCTTGGTGGAGTTCCGCCAGCCTGGCAGGGAGCTGAGCTGCTGCTGCCCGCTTGGTTCCTTCCGTCCCAGTAGCTGTTTGTAGTGTTCACTGGTTGTCGGTGCATTTATGGTTTACTGAAAAATAATTTTTTTGTCATCGACTATGAAGTGAGCAGTATTCCTGTGCCCCTGAAGGCACACGTACTTGATATGCAAGAAATGGAGTCACAGGGTTTGAACATACATCTATGTCACGTCTTGTTTTCACACTGAGGAATAACTTCTGGAATTACAGTTGTATAATTAGGCTGAAGAGATTTATTAAGGATTAATAAATGTCTAATGGATGTTCCTCCCCAAAACATCACGGAAGAGTCCTGCAACTGTGGAAATGTAAAGACAGGAGAAGAAGTAGGAGATGGGTCTCATATGTAGTTAACTTTGATATAGCTGTCAATTCTTTCTAGCAATCTACTGACAGGAAATCAGTTTTATTTCGAGGCACCACTATATACCTTGATGCTCTTCAGTTTCTTAATATTTTGTACTTGGTACCACATTGTATTTGAATCATCTTTTAGCTGTTTGCCAGTTCAAAGCTTTACTGACAGAGGACAATATTATTCTCGAGTTTGTTTAAAACCACGTTACTGATGTATCTACAGTAGGTCAGGGCCTCACTGGGTCCTTCTGGTTTCACTGTCTCTTCAGAGAGACAGAATCAGCGAGACCAGGGTCTGTGTGAGCACGAACCCTGGCTGTTTCACGGGCAGCGTGGCTGCACCCCTCGGATGGGCCGGCCTTTACGCTGCCGGGTCAAACATGCTTGGACACGGCCTCTGAAAGCACACGGGGGGCCCTGGCCCCAAGCCCCACAACAGCACTGCACCTCGTCCAACCTCAGCAGAGGCCGGCCCCCCGGCACGGCAGATCCAGGCGTGGATCTCTGTGCCCAGCTTTGAACCAGCACACAGCTGCAATTTTCCATGGCTGTTTGTTGTAACGACAAAAGCTGCTCGCTCACCTCGGGTCTGCTGTAACTGCAGACGCTGCCACAGCCCAAGCAGAGCTATGTGTAAGCACCGCCTCGATCACTGGTGCAGAAAATTACACCCCAATAAGCCACAAGTATTGCAAGGAAGGGGAATGAAGATAGCAGCAGCATTGAGATGGAAGACTTCCCAACGGGTCTTCTCCTGAAGTTCAACAGCAGAACTGAGGGTCAGATCTCGAGGGATGCAGCCGAGTTTGTGCTGACAGGCCGGGCTGTGAACAGGGCAAGGCAGAGAGCTGAGCTCCCAACTGGCTTCATCTAGCACAGCCAACTCTTCCGAGCCTGATTTTGGAGCCCTAACTCAGATTTCACCAGTGATCTTTGTTGCTCCATTATTTCTTCAGTGTACTGCAGAAATCACAATTAACCAATGGTTAATTTAATCTTGCTGTCCAGACTAAATCCTCTGCTGCATAGACAAGCAGTTTTTAACGTGGTGAGGAGTGAAGCTCTGCCAGCTTTCCCACAGGAGCCTCGTCTGCAAAAACAGAAAGGGACTGGCACATGTGCTCCCCAGAGCTGCCTGCTCGTGCGCTGCCCTAGCACATCGACTTGCTGTGACCCCCCCAGCAAACTCCTAACTGGGATTTGGCCACTGCTGGGAGAGCTAAGCAGTGAGCGACGCTTGCAGAAAAGAGCAGGTCCCCTCCAAATCCATCCAACAGGGAATCTTGTTTCTCCTTTTCTTATAAATAGGGGTGAGAAGGTAAGTGGGATGTGCGGGAGCAGGAAGTGGTGACAGATGGCGGATATTAAAAAGATGCTTTGATTACAGGATTTGGAGAGAGGGTCCTTTAATGCAGATAAATTTTTAATTGTTGCTTTTCTGGGGAAAAAAAATCCCTGTGCTCCCAAGCAGTTCCCGGTAGCAAAAGCCCTGGCCTGCGAGCACTGCTGACTCTAATTACTTCAACACAGAGAAAAAGAAAACGCTGTGCTTGTTAGAACTCCTTGGTTAAACTTCAACTTCTGCGGAGAAGTGTTTGTTTCCTTCCATCTGCTGCCTTTGCAAGGAGAGAAAATCAGCCTGTTCAGATACCAGGAAGTTCTTCAACATTTGAACAGCTAGCTGTAAATGCAGAAACAATAACACGCATAAATTATCATGAAAATACCCTGCATGCTAGTCACACATATAACCCAGCCCTGGAGCCATTCCTAAGTAACGGTAAGGCTGCATAAAGTATGCAGAGACACGGGATGTGGGCAGAACAGGGCAGCTGTGGCGGCAGATGCACGTGCCGGGCTCTCTTGCACCATTGTAGTTTTTTCTTCTCATCAAAACATGATTTGCTTTTACTGGGAGCTGCCGGCTGCCTCCTCCGTCTTTGTGCACTGTATCTGCCAAAGCTACTTGCACAGGAGATTAAAGTCAGAGCCAGACCCTTTGTGATCGACAGAGACCCACAGCATTTGAATTTAAACCAAATCCATCCCGACGCTGGGGCTGTGTGAGCAGCAGGGTACGATGCTGGAAGGCCAACCCTCAAATGCAGCAGCTCCCCAAGCCTCCGAGGGGGCAAAAATGCAGTAGGAAGGGGAGGCAGGGGCAAGGGCTGGAGCGATGGCTGTCCGCAGGCTGCTCCCACGGCACACAAACAGGACAGCCCACAAGTCACCTCACGGGTGGGGGACATGGCTGTTGCCCTACAGCTCACGGCTGTGGGAAGTCCACGATGGCTCTTGAAATCAATTCCCATGTGGTCTCCACCTCCAGGGTTTGCTTTTCAGATATCTCGGAGCCCTCGCTGCGTTTCCGTGGTAACGCTGAGCGAGCCGAAGTGGGTTATTTGCAGAATCGAGGTGCCGGCGCACTCTCCCTTCCGAGCGGCTGCAGCAGTTCTGGCTTCGCCCAGCAGAAGCTGCAGGTGTGCTGCAGTAACGGTGACATGTTCCTCAGGGCAGCTCCCCGTCGGCGAGCAGGTCAGGAGCTGCAGGTGTGCTGCAGTAACGGTGACATGTTCCTCAGGGCAGCTCCCCGTCGGCGGGCAGGTCAGGAGCTGCGCTCACCAGATCCCTTCGTGCCGGCACCACGCGGCAAATGGACCGAAGCGGCCCCAGGACGGGAACTGCCCCGACCCCAGCCAGGTCCCCACGGCCCCTCCGTCCCAGCGGAGGCACAGCCCCCGTTTAGCTCAGCGCCTCGGTTCTGCACCTACGAACCTTCCAGCGCTGTAATTCCTGTCAGCATCCATGGGACCGATGGGTCTGTCACACCGATACGACCCGGATGGGAAAAGTGGAAAAGCTGTTTCACACAGCCAAAGCCCAGGCTGCCCTGTGCTGCAGGAGAGCTGAGGATGCTGCTGCTGTCAACTCTTCGCCCAGCACTGCAGCCACCAAAATAGTTCATGCCTGCTGGCTAACCACTGCTGATGGAAACACACAGCACTTTCCATTTACTTAAGTCTTTGTGGCCTCAAACCCTTCCCGTGTCCGACCACAGCCATCTGGCCACGGCCCATCACACCCATCGTTCCCCATCCAAATGCAAACCAAGCCAGGACTTCTCAGCATCCATGATGAGATAACTCAGACTGGCCAGGTTGTTTAAATTATTAAACTAAGAAGGAACTGCACAGGCTGGATCCTAGCACAGCAATTTGTATGTTATTCTTTCTTCTAATGAAAGCAAAAAGCTAACTTTGAAGTAAGACCTTTGCATCTCAACAAAGAACTTTGCAAGGAGAGGTCGGGCATGTTTCCACTACAGCTTGAAGGCAGCTGGAACAAGAGCAGACAGATCTTTTTTGGGGATACCTCTGCTGTCGGGAGCAGCACAAACACCGGCAGGTCATGAGCTGTTCACCGTCCCTGCAGGCAGAGCCCTGAATGACCCCGACGTGCCCTGGAGCGAGTCCCTGTGAAAGGCTTCAAGTGGGAGAGCTGCTCGTTCCTGCCCGGGGCACGGCTCCTGGCTTGGCTCTATGGGCTGTGGCTCACCCAGAGCAGCTGAAGGGCCGAGCCGGCGGATCCCAGCCGCGGCAGGGACACCCCAGAAGCCTGGGGGCATAAGGACATCTAAAGATCTAATTGCCTTTTTAGAGCATTTGGGGAAAACCACTGAATCACAGGTCGGTTTGAGTTAGAAGGGACCTTAAAGATCACCCAGTGGCACCCCCTGCCCCGGGCAGGGCCACCTTTCCCCAGCCCAGGTTGCCCAAAGCCCCGTCCAACCTGGCCTTGAACCCTGCCAGGGAGGGGGCAGCCACAGCTGCTCTGGGCAGCCTGTGCCAGGGCCTCACCCCCCTCACAGGGAGAATTTTGCCCTCGGTTGGTTCCCGAAAGCTCTGCCCAGGCATCGAGCGCATTTCCCGTGCTCCTCACGCGTGGGCAGCCCGCGGCCCCATCACTGGGTGTATTTAACCGCTTCTCCCAACTCCCACCCCGGATCCCGGCGGCAGGAAAGTGCCGGGGAGCGGCCGCCCGGCGGGGCTCGGCTGAGGGGAGCGGCCGCCAGGAGGGGCCGGCCCGGGCG